TCAACTGTGGTGTTCTGGGAGGTGTTAATTGTGATACTATCCCACATTCCTTAAGATAGTCAAGGAACTCGGTACTAAGATACTCACCACCTTGATCGGATCGAAGCATCTTAATGTTCCTGCCCAACTGATTCTCCACTTCTTGCTTAAACTCTTTGAATTTATCAAAGGTTTCCGACTTATGTTTGATTAAGTAGACATATCCATATCTACTAAAAGCATCAATAAAAGTCACATAGAAGCGATTAGCATCTCTAGTAGCGGTTCTGAAGGGTCCACACACATCTGTGTGTATAATATCCAACAAACCTTCACCCCTAGCGCAAGTGCTGGTAAAAGGTGACTTTGTCATTTTTCCAAGTAAACAAGATTCACAACTATCATCCGACTTTAGGTCGAATGATTCCAAGACTCCATCCTTTTGGAGTTGGCCTATGCGTTTCTTGCTTACATGTCCAAGATGACAATGCCATAAAGATGCTTTATCTAAGCTAGTGGAAGAATCGATACACAATACATTATTTCCTAAGTTAACTACAATAGATATAGTTTCATACACACCATCACAAGGTAATGCTTTAAAATAAAGAACACTATTATAGAAAGCATCAATACCACCACTTTTATTATCAAAATAAAAGGTGAACCCTTGTTTATACAATGCATGAAAGGAAATAACATTTCTTGCCATTTCTAGCGAATTACAACATTTATTCAAGTCTAATGTAAACCCACTATCTAGTAACAAGGAATAAACTCCAATCTTGGTGACAGGTGAAACTTTCCTATTCGCCATGATTAGGTTTATCTTTCCATGCTCCAAATCCTCACTTCTTCTTAGTCCCTGCAGATCAGAACATATGTGAATTCGACAACCTCTATCAAGGACCCAAGACTTAGAATGAGGTGAGTTATTAGACAATATAGTGTATATACCTGTATGGTTGGGTTTTACTTTCCCATCCTTCAAATCTTGCTGGTACTTTGGGCAGTTTCGCTTCCAGTGCGACTTTTCATGGCAATAGAAGCATTCAGCCTCATTAGGGTTAGCCGAAGGAGTAACAAAACCTTTCTTGGTTTTGCTTGAAGAGGAGCCTTCAAGGGTCTTACCCTTGGTACCCTTAGAAGGATTCTTCCTCTTCTTACCTTTGCCATGCCCGATTGCCAAGACATTGGCCGCAGTAGGAGTAGGAGGAGTAGGAACACCCGACTTACCCTTAAGACTACTTTATGCAGTTTTTAAGAGTCCTTGAAGTTTACTAAGTGTAACTTCTTCCTTATTCATGCGGTATGTCATTCTAAATTGATCATAACATGACGTTAAGGAGTGAAAAATGATATCTATTGCTAACTCCTCAGGAAAGTCAACATTCAGTTTCTTCAAGCGATCTACAAATATTTGCATCTGCTGCATGTGGGTCGTGAGGGACTCATTGTCCTTCATTTGGGTGGTTATCATGGAGGAGATTATTTCATACCTCTCTTGACGATCACTTTGATGGTATCGCTCCATCAAGTCCATGTGCATCTCAAAAGGGTAATAGTCCTCATAGGACTTTTGGAGATCAGCTGTCATTGTAGCAGTCATGATACATGCTACTTTGGTAGCATCCCTTTCATGTGCTTGAAATGCAGCAATCTCCTCTGGGGTAGCAGTAGACTCATCAATATCCTTCAACTCGCTATCAAGGACATATTATTTGTCCTTATAGCGAGTGAACATCCTGATGTTTCTGATCTAATCCATAAAATTAGATCCATCAAAGATGACTCTCCCACAAAGGTTCATGAGAGAGAAGGAGCCAATAGGGTTTGAGCCAGAAGCATTGTTTTTGGAAGACATTTGAAATGAAGGAATAAGTTTAGATTAGATTCCAAGATAGTCCTTAATAATGCACCCAAATGCTATATTAAGGCTAGGACCCAACACAATATTTTATAACTTAGAAGAGGGATGCCATAATCCAAGCTATAAAATATTTGAAGGTAGGTGAATGACGATTCACCAATTTCCACCATAAAATGGAATAATTTTTATTAGGTTTTAATTGGTTAAAAAATTCCTAGGTTCTTTGAGATTCATTGAACTTTTCAATGGCATGTTTCAATCTCGAGTGTGCCCTTCAAGTTTTGTGACTGGGATGCCGAGGATCACAAAACAAGGTGTGAAGTAACCATGCAAATTACTTGGTACACTTAATGTATTACCCCTCAATCGAAGTGCTGGTTAACCACACACGCTCCAACGATACTATGATAAACATTAAGGCACCCTTTGCCTACCTTGATAAGTCCAAGTTAGTGTGCCGGTTAACCACACATGCTCCACTAACGGCTTAATCAAAGTGCAAAGTGTAATTTCATGGATTAGCACCTTATTCACATTTTCCTAAAGTAACTAAGATTGGGAATTAATAAGAGTTTAGTTACTTTAGTATATTCATAATACTTATTATGAGAATTATAGTCATTGTTCTACCTTTTCGGCTAACGACCCTCCACCGATCAAGGAAGCGGTGGGTGAGAATGGACACCCATTAAGTTGCCATTTTATAGGCAACAACCTTATACCCCCCTTATAGTCTGGCTTCGTGAATGAGGCCTACTAATGGTAAAAACGACTTTTATCTTATACATATATAATTATTATTCACTTATAATATTATAAAGTATAAGGGTTGAATTTTAATATTTAATATTCTAAGGGTTGGAACTAAAGTTTTAATTATGACTTTAATTGTTCCAAAACTTGAGGGCAAGTTTTGTAAACTTTCAAAACTTTTCATTTCTCATAAGTTATGATTTTATTAGAGTATTAAAATGAAGACTCTTCATTTTCATAACTCTTGTGTTCTTTTAATGGTTTTAATTCAAGTGTGACTCTTGGTTTCTCCATAACTTGAGGACAAGTTATAGACTCCCTTAAAATACATAATGATCAAGAATTAACTAACATGGAGGTTACAAACAATTCCTATGATCATCTAAATTCATAAGTTCAAGAACATGGTTATCAAGAATTTCAAGAACCATAACAAACTTATATAAAACTTGTAATTTTTTATAATAACCATTGTAAATGGATTAGCCTAAACATTACACCAACTATATAAAACACCAAAACAATTTAGTGTAATGTTTCTCGTCCATTTCCAGCAGCAAAACTCGAAAATCTGGACACTGCAGCCTCTACTCGTCGAGTGCATGAACAGACTCGACGAGTAGCATGCATTTCTTCATGGACTCGTCGAGTCCCCCCATGGAATTGGCGAGTTCATACGTGCAGTGAACAAAAAAATTCATTTTTCAGCTATTTTGCATCAAGTATCAAACAAACAAGCCTAGGCTCTGATACCACTGTTGGGTTATGAGCATTCTAACACTCCTATGGTGTACATGAAACCCTAGAAACCTTGGATCTATGTTTGACTAAGATACATGCAAAATGATTTTCCAAGGTTCATTATCCTATCTAGCATACATGGGGATCTTTTATTCTAATAGTTAGTAAGAATTACATACCTCTTTGTAGCTTGGATTCCATTGAAACCTTGTGAGCCTAGCACCTCAAGTGTGATGCCTCAAATGCTTCACACAACACCAAGTACACTTGGAATAAACTCTTAAGAGAATAAGAACCCTTAGTATTTTCGGCTAGCCCTCTTTTGTTCACTCTAGTGGCCGAAAATGGTGAAGAATAGCTTCTTTATATAGTATGTTACAATTAGGGTTACACCATGTAAACCCTAATTGTCATGACCTTTCATTTCCATGACCCATGGGTTATGTAACCCCCATGGAGCATTCATGGAGCATCTTATGGGTTTAACCCAACTTGATAATCCATGGAGCCTTGGCCCACTATCTAAGTGATGGATGATTGACAAATCAACCCATATATTTAATTAGTCTTCTTTTGATCACATAATTAATTCTAAATTAATTATTGATCAAAACTAACTAAATATTATTATTCTTATTATTAATATATTTGAACTTATAATATATTAATAAACCATAAGTGTCTTATTTCTCTCATTTAGTCTATCCAAGTGCATGATGCCATGCAACCCAAATGGACCATGCCGGGTCGGGTCAAGTACATACCAAATATAGCTATGGGCTTAGACACTATATCCAACAGTTTATGCCTTTGCATGTCTCATACATACCCACTTCTCCATTAAGACATTTCCAAGGTCTTTAACCCATGCATGAGGCCAAATCTCCCATCAAGATTCCATTTTTATGATACTAAAGGACCAAAGGACCTTAGATCTGTCTTTCCAATCTCCTGGAGTTTCTTAACTAACAAGGAGGTCCAAAATCATCCATAAAGGGACCAAACTAGAAACCCTAACTAGATCTAGAGATTAAGAAGGAAAGGTGCAAGCTTTATACCTCCAGAAACTTTGCAAGATGGCTATTAGGCAGGATCTTGAAGCACCAATTCGTTCCAAGATTGTATAACCACTTCTTTTTCTTGAAAGTACTCCAAAATGCCCTCCAAACCCTCTCCTTAAGCTCAAAACTCACACACACAAGTTCACAGCTGAAAGTATACGAAAAGAGGCTCAAGAGGCTGATAGGGTTTGGTCCGAGAGGCTAAAGGATGAATAAATAGGGGGACAAGTCTGGGATTTAGGGTTTTGACCCTCTGATGCGTACGCCCAGTGTATGTGAGGCTCCTTCGCGATCACTCATGCAGAGTACGCTAAGCGTACTCATAGGTACGCCCAACGTACTCAAGGGACCAATTATGCTAAAACGTAATTTCTAAGGGTTTTAAGACGTACCAGGGTTAGGGTGTTTCAAATTTATTTATGTTGTATTGATTAATTTATTGTTTTCTCTATAGTTGTTGTATGCTTATAGCAGGAAGTATGCAAGAAATAATTTAGCTAAAAAGCTATATTTTATTGGGCGTGCTATTGTTTATAAATTAGCAGAGATTCAATAATTAGAGATTATTTTAGGAGGGGTTGGGAAACAATTTCGAGATGAACATCCAGATGTTGATATGGATGATGAAACAATGGTTAAAGATGAGCACTTGGTCAATTTTAAGAGAGTTTGGAGATGAGGAGGTAATAGTATAGTTTTTTAATATCTTATAAACATCATGATAGTTGCAACTGATATGATGTTTATTAATAATATCAGATTATATAGAAATATTTCTTGTAGAATATAAGTTTTACTATATATTTTAGTATAATACTTGTTGATATATTGTACTCTAATTAGTAATTGATTTTGTGTATTGCAGGCTTACTTTACTATTTTAGAGTGGAGTCATGCATTGATGGTAGCAGAAAAACATACTATGGAAGTGGCGTTGAAGGATGTATTGGAAAAATTACCTGATAGTGTTGTTGTAAATGAGTGGTTGGAAAAGAAGAATGAGTTGTTTAATGATCATAAAAGGGCTTACAATGAAGATGTGCATGAAGTGGATTGTGATAATGAGGTTAATCTGAATGATATAGGTGATGGTAATGAAGGAAACAGTTCACCCATCATAATATTGACAGATCATGGGGAGAATGAGAAAAAAGATGTCACTTATAGTACACCTATAGTTGATGTCAGTTCGCTAACAATGAGTCAGTTTAATGCACTTTCTCAGGTGAATGAAGATATGATTCGAATGTTGGATGAAACAGAGTTGCAGGTATATAAAAGGAAAAATTTAAAGTCAGATATCAATAAGGAGAATGCCGGTGGAAGAAATCTAGGGAAAGCTATTGATACTGTTGTTGGAGATGATGAGAATGATAAAAAGGGAAAACGTGTACCTAAAAAGGCCAAATTATTTCATTCCCCCTACACTGTAAAAATTATTAAACTTGGGCATAAACTGAAGAAGGACGAAATTGGAATATGTAATTTAGTTTTTGCATCTAAAAGAGACGAGGGGTTAGTTATATATTAAATGCATAATTTTTTTAAAATACAAGTGGAAATGTATATAGCTTGATCCTTAATAATGATTTTCACAGGGGTTAGTTATATATTAAATGCATACTTTTTCTAACATAATTAATTGTTGGGTTGGGTTTTTTAAATAAAATGGAAAACTAGGAGGATGAAGCATCGCTTTCAATATTTTTCTTCGATATAAGTATTTTGTTATGAATTAATTTTTAGATAACTTTAACTTATATTTTTTTTAGAATTAAAATGACAGTGATGTTTTTTACAGATAAAACTGATATTGAATGAGTTACATACAGAAGATTTGAGATGTAGAGTGTTTGATGCTTTATTGAGCATATACATTAAGAAATTTAATGTCAAACCAAGTTTCGAAGATGTTATGCTGGTAAGTATTCAGAGGAGTTGTTTTTTATTGGTGCATTAATTATTTTAGTATTAATTTTTTTAATGTATACAAGGTATTATTCCCAGTAAATGACGATGAAAAATATTACTTACTAATATTTGATGTACGGACACCGTTTCACTACATAGTAGATCATGTGAAGAAAATAGGAACATTAGATAGAAAATATGTCATGATACCAAATCTGGTGATGAGATTATCAATATTATTCTAAGACTATGTTTTCCATTCTAAAATTTATTCTAATATGTTGTATGTTGCATATGTTATGTTGGATGACATAAAAAACTCTTTTGCGTCTATTTAAAATCAAAACATCATCCAATAGAGAAAGCATTAAGATTTTAAGGTAGGGCATGTGATGAATATTTCTTGGGAAGTAGATAAGCTTGGACCGGATTGTGGAGTATACCTTATGAGATAAATGCAAAGTTATATGGGTGAATCTGAAAGGCATTGGGAGTATGGTCTGACAGGTAAAACGACTACTGGTGTGAGTGCTATAATTAATTTAAGAACAAAATACATGGGAAGACTCTGGACAGCTGACTTCAATAAGTACATAAGTATGTTAGATAGAGATTATGAAGCATTTTGTAAGCTTGATATTTTGGAACATCAATGATTCTTTGAGAATCAAGTGAAATGAGGAAGAAGAAGAGAATAGAAAGGCGTCGGAAATAAGCATGTGAAGTGGTAGTTTGGTTTGCTTGTAGTTATGTATTTTAAGGAAGGTATTTGAACTTTTTTTAGGTTGTTTAGTTATAAATTTGCTTTATGTTTGGTTTTGAATGATTACTAGTTTCTTAAAAGTTGCAATTTTTGGGTTTATAAGATATTCAACTTATATTTTGTTATTGCTAGTGGATTGTTTGTTTTTATGATATGTCTAAGTTGAATTGTTTTTTATTAAATAGAATGATAGTTTTGTTTCTTGTTACAATGGAATTTTATGAGAACATATTGAATTTTATTAGTATGTCTTAATTGGATGTTTCTTATAATGTAATATTCTATACTGTTAAGGTCATTGAAAATTGTGGCAATGATATGTTTTTTGGTCATTGTGTTTAGTTGTGTAAATAAAGACATATAAATAATTATATGGTATTCTATTGGTATGAATTATAAAATGTGGTGATTTTAGTGTCACCATGTCACTTTATGTAACTGTAATTAGCATGTGAGCTAAGGGGCTTCATAATTTGTATTCCAATATGTGTACGGGTTGGTGCAGAGTCCACGCATGCATAAGATCAAATTAGAAGCCGGTTCGACGACTAGTCGGGGGTCTGCGGGCAGCTCCCCTTGGTCCGGGGTTTCCAAAGGGGCAGCGCACCTTTGGCAGGGTCTAGGGGCAGCGCCCTTAGCGGGGTCTAAGGGGCAGAGCCCCTGGCTGGGGACATAGTTGGAAAAATGAATTCTTGAGGGTGATTATGGTAAAACTGACGAAATGTGTCAGTTTTTGAAACCCTAAATCCTCATCAAGATTCGGATTATCCTGACTTGCTCCCAAAGCAACTCATAACGGCCCAACCCTAATGAAACCCTAATCTCGTTTCTTATATAAACGACTCTTCCTTTTCAGCGGGCGGGGTCGAGGGGCAGGGCCCCCGCAAGGTTTGGGGCAGCGCCCCAAAACCTCTCCGAATTTTACTTATGGGAACATAGTGGAATATTCATATTCTTGAGGGTGATTATGGTAAAACTAACGAAACTCGTTAGTTTTGGTAACCCTAATTCCTCATTAAAAGTCCGGATTCCTTAACTTGTTACCCAAGGAACTAAATACGGCCCAACCCTATTGAAACCCTAATCTCGTTTATTATATAAACGACTCTTCCTTCTAATAAGAGGGTGGCGAAATTTAGCTCCCGTTTTTCAAGATTTCACAGAATCCTTCTAGCATATTGGCTTACAATTTCTGTGCCTAGAATCGTAAGTGTCCACTTGGATTATCCTAGGCTGAGTTTCTTGTAACCCAGTCATAGGGTAGAAATATCAGTTCGGAAAATGATATCGCGATCCAAGTCGGTATCCAGATCTCCACCACAAACCCTATTTTTCCCAACTTAAAAAGTGTTATTATTCTGTAATATAAAATACAAAATTCTATTAAATGACAAGCGATATTGAAATGAATGAAATTGATTGTGTAAGTAGTATTAAGTTACTATGTTTGTGATTAGTGAATTTTTTGTCTAAATGAAGATGTATGTATTAAGTAAGGTAATACTATAGGTAAATTATGTCAGAATGTGTTATAAAAAGGGTTATGATTCTGTAATTGAAAATACAAAATTTTGTTAGAATGACAAGCAATATTAAAATGACTGAAAAACAATTGTGAGATTAGTTAAATAATTGTATTAAGAAAGAATATGATTTCAGTAAGTTTGTGAGATTATTGGAAAAAAGACATCATAGTTAAAAAAATAAGTTGTGAGAAATATTAAGTTGTTATATAGTAAATAAATGATGATATATTCTGCACGAATGGAATATAACAAATTATGTATTACGGCACAATCAAAGTAAATACTTTATTAAATGACCTAAGAAATCACAATGAAAGACAAACAAAAACATTAAAATTAAATGTTATTATAGTAAAGACATTAAAGTAACATAAAAAAAACTACTTCTCCACATTCTTGAAAGGACAATTTATTTTGTCATGAGTAACCATCTGTTCACATGAAGCATACTTTCTCTTACGTTTCAAGCTTTCCTTTTCAAGCATCTCTTTTTTCGATTTTAATCTCTTCCCACGACTATCGCAACATTTTTTATGAATATCTTATAGATTCTCGATGTTAATGTCATCAGGAACTACCACGCCTTGAAGTCAGTTATAGTGTTCTTCTCGGTTCGGTATCTCATGAATTGGACTGACATATATGAATTTTTTTTCAACTTATTATGCTCGTCAGGGTATCACTTTAACTTAGACGAATCATGACTCAAAAAAGACACACAACGGTTAACAGTTGAAAATATATCAATAGCAGTCTTGTCGGAATTTGAATCATCAAAAGAATTCTTCCAGTGCCTTTTAAGTAATTCTGTTAGAATGACGTCTACCCGCCAACGTTTCAGAATGTACTTTTAAGGTATTAGTTTGATGCTATAAAACTTAAAAACATAGATGTAACATCCATAAAAATCAAGCCAGTTTAAACTTTTTAAATCATTCAATAACCATTAGTTACTAGAAATCTATTTTCAAATTAGTTTCATATCAGAGTATCCCCATAATCAAATCATAAAATCATGAAATATGAGGAGCTGTACGACCACGTCTTTGCCTTCCCGCGGTCATCCGCTGTACCTGAAACAATAATTGATAAATGTAAGCTCGAAGGCTTAGTGAGTTACCCCCAAAATACCAATACACCTACAGTCCACATAACAATATCAACAATATCATAACATAGCGAAACATAAACAACATGCAATGGGTCCATAGCTCTACAGACTGGATTACCTCTGAGCCCATAGTATGAGTCTGGCTTGCTCTCCTCGGCCCAAAACTCATATTTGGCTTGCACTCGAGCCCACAACATAAGTCTGGCTTGCCCTCAGGCCCACAACTTATGTCTGGCTTGCTCCTTCCGTCCTTGGACTAGAATATGAATGATTATCCCTCAGTACAAGTCTGCCATGCTCTACCCGACCCTCAGCTTGTATCTGGAATGCATATGAGTCCTCAGTGTGAGTCTGGTATGCCCACCCTGGCCCTCAGCTCACATCTGGCATACTCCCGGGTTTGTTGGCCAGCGTACGGAGCAGTGCAACCTCAACCCAACTACACAATATGTCGACAAAAGTACAAATAATTAGCCCTTAGTACGAGTCTGACATGCCTTGCCTGGCCCTCAGCTCGTATCTGGAATGCATATGAGTCCTCAGTATGAGTTTGGTATGCCCACCCCGGCCCTCAACTCATATCTGGTATACTCTAGGGTTTGTTAGCCACTGCACGGAGCAGTGCAACCTCAACCCATCCCACATAACATGTCGACATATAACCTAACTAATGCACATACAGATAATTACGTAGTAACACAGGTAGTCCTATAGATCTACCAAACTAGCATATCAACTGGCATACATCACTAACTCATACTCAACATATCAATAACTACTAGGATATCAAATCCAAATGGACCAACCTAATTTTGTAGACCATGTCGGTATAGTGAGGAGAACTCACCTGACACTACTGAAGTCCAGCGAATAAAACTCCAGCTGCTGGTTGATAGATTCTCGAACTGTCAACATCAAACAATACCCAATTAATAATTGGGTTCCAAGCCCAAGGTCCAACTAACACTCCAAAGGCCGAAAAGTCAAGTAATGGGCCAAGGCCCAACATATGGCTCACTTATGGCCCAATTTTCCAAATTAGGCCCTGTACTCTCTAATGGGCCTTATCCTTAAGCCCAATAATTTTCCTTAGTCCATAACCCTATTTCCAATTGGCCCACGAAGGTGATGGGTTTTGGCCATAAGAACATCCTATGTGTTCATGCAAACCCTAATGCTTGGATCTAGGTTTCTCTATTGTACATGCAATGTATCCAAGACTTACAATCTTAGATCTAACATATTATAAACTGAAATTAGGGTTTAGAGAATTACCTTTGATTGTTATATAGCAATAACAATCACAAATCCTCCTTGTAATGACTTTAGAAAGCTTAGAGTCACATGTGTCACTCCTCTAATGGCTCACAAACACCAAGAGCAAGAGGATGAAGAATATGGATAGAGGAGGATGCCCAAAACGTCCAGAAACCCTAGTGGAACTCTTCCCTGCGTTTTTGGGGCTTAAGGGTACTATATATACATGTAGGCTATTAGGGTTTTCAACTAGGAAACCCTAATCTGACTGCTTAAGCCCTAAGCAGCCCATAGACCCTTTTAGAATATCCCTTGGGCGATTTCTAATGGGTTTCCCCATAGAATTCGTCCAACCTATTATTCCAAGGTGATCCATAGCCCAAATGCAATTATCTTATAATTACAGTTCCAGTCCCTTAAGTTTAATTAATCTCTTTTAGCCACAAAACTAATTATCAATTAATTCTTGACTAATATTAATTAAACAATATGATTTCTCCTTTAATATATTATTCTCATAATATATTAATAAATCATAATTAATCCTCTCTCTCCATAATTCATCCTATCAAGTTGCTTTGGTGAAGG